AACAGCACCATCACCACGGCCGTCATCGGCATCACCATCACCACCATCATCCTCATCGGCCTGGGAATCGGCGGGCCCTTCGAGCAAGTAATCATCGCTATCGCTCCATGGGTCTTCCCCTTCATCCGAACTCAAGATTGGGAGCTGCCTCTCCGACGGGGGAAGCTTCATATCCTCATCAGGATTCTTCATTCGCCGAGGGAGACTCAGACCCCTCGGCCTCATCTTCCGGAAGCGACGACGAAGCTTCCTATAGATCAGCTTCTGCATCCTATACTGGCCGCAGTCGTAGAAAGCTTGCATCTCGTTCATCCAAAATTCTTCGCCGACGGGATCCTTCGTCGTCCAGTCGGTCAACCTCTCAACGACCACCTCATAACAGAAGGGGAGCTGATCATCGGCTTTCCACCCCTCGGCCTTGAAGTCAGCTACGGCCTTCTCGGCGGCCTTCTCAGCATCAGCTTTGAGCCGCTCCGCCTCCTCGGCTCTCTTCAGGGCAACATCAGCAGCCTCTGCGGCTTCCTTCCGAGCCGCCTCGGCCTCATCAAGCCGGAGCTGTAAGAGCCTCATCTCATCCTCCGCAGCCTTGGCCTTGTCCTTGAAATCCTGGAGGGCCTCATCGGCTGAAGCAGCCTTAGCCTCCACTTTCTTGAGTCGCTCAATCTCGGCCTCCTGTCTCCAGTGCTGCTCCCGCAGCATCAGGGCACCCTGGACGAAGCGGAATTTGAAATCAAAGGAGATAAACAAAAGCAAAGGAAAAATCACAAAGGAAAATATCTTACCTGGACGACATAGTCTATCCCTCCGTCGTACAGCCGAACATGCTGGCCTTGTCGGCCGAGATATTGACGGTCATACTCAGGCATAGCCTGAGCAAGCATATCATCACCACCAACGGTCTCGTTGAAAAGACTGCCTTTAACAGGGTATCGTACGGTGACTTCATACGACCCCTTAGCAAGTGCCTCCTCTAAACGGGCAGCAGCAGCAGTGGAGGGAGCCACTCGAGAATCCGAGGCCACAACGGCCGATGAAGGTGGATCATTCACAGGAGGGACCACCGTCGGCTGGACATCCACAACAGCCTGAGAGGAGGGAGCACCGGCCTCGCCACTCGTTGGAGCCCTCTTCGTCTTCTTCGAAGCCTGGCTCGGTTTCAGCCCCGCTTCGGCCAGAGTCTTTTGGCCCTCATCACCAGCCCTCCTGCTCTTCTTAGCCACGGGCTTCTTAACGGCCTCAGCACCCCCTTGAGAACCGCCCGCAGACTTCTTCGCTGCCTCGGCAGCTTGGGCGGCCTTGAGCTCCGCATCGGCTTTCTTCGCAGCTCGGGCCATGAATGACATCCGGTCCATATCGAAGCCTGCACAAACAATACAAGGGTCAGCAAAACACAAAAAGCAATACAAGGCTGGCACACCAAGACGGGGCCCGTCGGCTTGCTCGTAAGACCCCACCATCTTCGGCCAAAGATCATCATCAACGTCACCAGGACAATAGTATCTCACAAAGCCGAGGGAGGCCATCCGGTACTCCGTAACGTACGTCTTGGTGCTCCTCGGCCCACCCTTAATGAAGGCCTCTACCTGGTTGCTTATTTCAGCACTCCATGGGGGGGAATGCAACTGAAAGAGGCCGCTGTGACCGTTGGAAGGAAAGAAGCCACCCTGACCCAAAGTGACGAACACAAACTTGGCTTTCCAACCATGGATGGACGTAGGGAGGTCCGTGAACGTCCTCCTCCCACTAATCTGCTGTAGGGTCGCATACCCAGCACAATTCTGGTGGCTCCCTAGGCCTATCCGGAACAAGTTCATAAAAAGGGCAGTCGTCGGCGAAATCTCCAACTCTTTACACTGGATCAAGAAGCTGATGATGAGCGAAAAGCTATTGGGGGTCAATAGGGCCGGAGGGAGCTCGACCATTTCCAGATACTCCTTGATGAAGGGATGAAGGGGGAACCTCAAACCCTTGGCAAAGCTCATCGGATATACCCCAAAATAGCCTAATGGTGGGTTCAAAACGTGATCCGTCGGCATCGGGGCTCTAACACGGCCGAAGGGACCAACGTAGAGCTGTGCGACGTGGTAGTCACCGAGGGACCCCTCCGGCCGAATGATGTAGAGATTCGTGAGATCCAACTGCGAGTGCCCCTGCGGTACACCCCTACGCTTCTTCCGCCGATACGGCTTCTTCACTCCACGAGCCGAAGCACTTTCCCCGACGACGGCCGATACCGGCGGAGGACAAGGAATGGCGGCTGACGAAGATGCCCCGTCCCCCCTCAAAGGCGAGCTGGAAATCGCCTCGTCTTCCCCAGAATTCTGCGCACCTGCATCGTCGCTCAGGCGTTCCTCGTCCACCGAGGTGCGATAATCAGCCGTATTCTCCATCTCAACGGCCAGCTCGTCAACAAGTGTCAAGTTGATCCGAGGCGATATATCTTCCTCGTCAAATGGCCAGTCCTTTTCGTCCAACGAGGCTGTTAAATCAATAGGGGAAGGAACACTACGGCCGTCAGGAAACGGCATAACATCTAAAACCTAATCCTAAGGGCGGTTTTGGGATCAAAGTGGTTTCCCTACAAACACTAGATCTAACCCCCTAGGAAGCAAAGTATAAAGAAAACAAAGAGAACAATGAAGAACCTAACCTTGGAGATTTGAAGACTTGAGGAAAGATTGATGAACACTTGAAGATCTACTTGGCGTTTCTCTCTTTAGGAATCTCGGCAGCAATTCGACTTGGGCAAATGACAAAATGAGGGAATGGCTTCGGAGTTGGGGATATTTATAGGCATCCCCCCCAACGGTCACTGTACGTGGCAACCTCCAATTGGCCACCTCAACGGCGCCTCTCCTAGAGCCAATCAGCGCTTGTCTTTCCACATTCCACTCTAAGGCCACCACTACGGCCCAACAGGCCCCGAAACTAGGGTAGGAGAAACTCGCTACGGCCCAATTTTACCAAATGACATGGCTACATCAGCAAAACACGCTACGGCCCCAAAGCAACCCCGAGAACCACAAGTACCGCTACGGATACTCACGCGCACATCGTTTGATGTGACCCTGGTATTGCGGCCTTCGTCCAAGGGTTCTCCCACAGGGTTACCTTGGACAGGTTCGCCTAAGGGTTGGACTCACGACTAACGCATGGGGTACCGTATCGGCTCGAGAACATCATGACTCCCTTGTGCCTCAAAAACTCTTCGGCCAAAGGAGTGGGGGACTGGGGGACTGTATCGGCTACAAGAAAGGAAACAACATAAAACGGGAGCGCAACGGCCTTAAATGCAAAGAGGGTGCACTACGGCTCACAATTCACCCCCAGAAGCACTGAGGATCGCATCGGCTACAGAACCTAGAAATTTAAAAGCCCAAAGGCACAAAGGCTAGCACGCAACGGCTACACACGCTAGGGGGACTGCGTCGGCTCACCATAGCAGGAACCCACAAGTCAAAAACGCTTCGGCTGCATGGCAAGACAAAGGCGTGCACCGCATCGTCCACACAGACGGAATCAACCATCTTTCACTTCATAAGGCAAGGTTATCACTGCGGCCAAAAAGTCATGAAGGAGCTCTTCGGCCCTAACAAATGACAAGAAAACAGGCCAGTTTATCCATACCAAAATTCACACCTACGAAAGGAGAACGTATCGCTTCGTCCGAAAAGCACTCCCACGGGTAGCGCATCGGCCCGCATCAAGACTATAAAATTCCCAAGCGCGCTTCATCTACATCAAATAAGGGAACCGCTTCGACCAAAACCGAAGCAGAAACTCTTCGGCCATCAAGCACCTTAGGCTCACGCAGCGGCCAGCCAGAAAGGAACAAGTACTCCCTTTCGCTTCGGCTCCACCTCAGCTCAGAGAGTGGGGGACTCCTGATAGAGTATATGGGCCTGGACCCCATGGCCCACATACTCAAGTCAACGATGACCAGAAGAACACCCACGTGGCCCCCTTCGGCCAGTGGGTCCGCATCGGCCAAAAACCGAACCGGTCCAGGAAGCACGCCTGGACTCTCGGGGCCCGCATCGGCCCATGGACCGCATCGGCCATGAGGCCGCATCGGCCAAAGGCACCGCATCGGCCAGAGTTCACCCTAGCAGAATGCATCTCTCTACTTTATTTACTAAGTATTGTACTCAGCCCATTAGTGGCCCTATTTCGCCCAAAGAAGGCATGATTATTGTAATGGGCCTCCTAAGCCCATGGCTAGAAGCCCAAACCCACATTTTTACCTATAAATAGACCCCTTGGGGCTAGTTATAGGGGGTTGAGAAATACAACTACTCACTTTCTCTCTCTAGCTCTCACTTCTCTCTAGAATTAATACTCTATCACTATCAACATTTCAAAACTTCGATGATGACAAAACAGTCTTGATTGTGTCCTCAAGATGGGTATGTCCAATTGACTTATTTTTCTAACAAGAATTGACGAGGCCTTTTTCTAACAATGCTCATCGGTGGTCGGGATATGAAGACCCGGATATCATCTCACGGGACGATGTATAGGACAGACAAGTATGAAATTAATCCAAGTATCAAACATCTAAGCTATTCAAGCCCAAGGTATTTGCTCTAAGAGAACAACTAAATAACAATGAATGAATAATTAAACTAGAAGGGAAGCGAGGGCATACAATGATCACACGCGATCAAGGTAAGAGGTCAGACGAGGGATCTTGATAAGAGTTCATGCAACAATATGGAGAGGTAACAATTTTATTGTCATTCTCATGGTTGAGTATTTTCATGGCCACTCTCATGTACCCTACTACCCTCCGTCTCATTTATATTGTCCCGTTTTACCTTTTCGGGAAGTCCCACTTAAATTGTCTCATACCATATTTGACAAAGTTTGTGTGACACTAAATCATTCTTACTTTATTCTTACTTTATCAATTAATATCAACCACACAAACCCACTTTTCACAATAACCGTGTCACCTTCAAACCTAATTAGAGTGTTTGAGAAAATGTAACTAGTTATTTAGGCTACTTCATTTGTCAAACAAAAGACTCGTCGTTGTTAATCACCATAATACATACACACACGCATACAACCTTCCCGTTTGCACACAAACCAGGCCTTCTCACCATCCTCACCTCTATTCACAGTTTCACACTGTCCGTAGAGATCCATGTTAAAATCACTCATCTCTAGAAGATTCATCACTTCCCTATCTCAATTTTATGCATAACCATCACGAGCATTACTTTGTTTAAGCTTCAAAAAAAAGGGAAAGTCAAGTGGATGAAAACTGAATAGCATCCTAAAGAAGAATCTCCAACAACTTTCCCCCCATGTGTTTCTCCACAACCTGCGGTTTAATGCGTGATTAGCCCTGTGATTTAAAAAATGCGTCAAACCCCCGTGTTATAATTAATAATTTGTCAAACCCCCTCCAAGAACAAATTTAATTTCCAAAAAAATGAAAATTGATTACTTTTTTTTGTATAATTTAGAAATTTTGACAAGGTTACCTACATATTCAATCATACAATTATAAAAAGTGATTTCAAAATTGTAAAAAAAAAATTGGAGGGGATTTTGCACATGATTAATTATAATACATGGGATTTGACGCATTTTTTAAATCACAGGGGCTAATGCTTCCAATTTATATTTCACGAGAGAGTTTGGTGCATTAAACCCTACCCCACAACCTGCCAGTATCTCTTTCTCTGACTGGCCAAAATTGTCTGCTCATATTATCTTATTTAACCCCACTTTCTTTACTCAATACATTCCTAAACCAATTTTTTTCCATAATTTGCCAAAAAACCCTGGTTTACAATGACTTCCAGTTACTTGAGATCCTGTGTTAATTTTAATAATAGAATGTGCATCTACTGGCACATCTTCAACACACGACTCCTTCCGTCCTTTATGTGACTCTTCCACTTTTGGTGCCTCCTGTAATTTAGTTGAAGAAGATTTAATCTTCCGTACAGAGCAAGGACTTGGTGCTGACCTCTGTTGCTTCTGACCTTTGGTGAAGGATATTTTTGTAACTTCCACTTTACGAACAGAGGAAGCTTTTGGCGTATCAGAACGGTCCTGACGACAGGGAACAAGCGGAGGCTTCTGTTCCGAAGTCATAAAGGGGTCTTCAAGAGGTGCCTTATAATGGCCATACCAAGAGCCATGAGGACCATCTGGTGGTTGATTAAAACGCTTCCCATTAAGGTTCTCGCCACTAATTAGAGCATTCCATTGCCATATAATACTGGCAGCACTGCTAAGAGCATTGGGCACAATTTCTAGACTGGCAAGCAAAATGTTGTAATTGTTCATTCTTAGTCGGTGTAGAATGCTGGCGAAATCTCTATCTCCTGAAATCAAGAAAAGGTGTGCTGGTGGGGGGTTTCGAGAAACCCAATACATAAGGTCAACAAGAAGAGACCTGTCAGCACTGTTCTTTCCACCTGAAGTAAATAAAAAGAGTTTATGTTAAGTGAAATAATAGTTGGTGCAGATAACAATTGTAGGAGTCCTATCAAACACCAGAAATTGAGACTGACCACCATATCAAAACAAGAATCAAGTTAAACACATTAACAAATACAGTCAATTTTGTTTCTCTGTTAGTCTAAGAGAACCTCAGCTTTGAGATAAATTTAAAAATAAAACTGAATGTAGGTAGGAACTATCTCAACTCATCTCTAATTCATTATCTTGTCATATTTTCCATGCAAGTGGAGATAATCAAAGATCATAGTGATTTGAGTTTCATATCATTATACCTTCATAAGAACATTGCTTTAGGAAGGGAGTCCGGTGTAAAGTTATGCATCCGCTTTATTTTTTAATTCTGCCTGAAATTTTGTGTTTAATATTTAGAAAGCTAATTGACACTCTTAGTGCCCATTTGGTAACATTATTTTTTAACTTATCAGCTTTACCGTACAGATGTTTTACCACCTCTATTTTTGGATGAATGTGCTAAATTGGAAAATAATGAAACAAGCAAGGTTGGAGGTACATTTTTGGCTGAATTGGCACAAAAGGGCTATTTTAGCTTTATTTCCAAAGCATTTCTTCAATACTTTAAAGTATATCTTAAATTTAATTTTTTAAAACTTCATTTCAGCCATTTCACCAATAACTTTAGCACATTAAGCCAGTTTCAGTTTTACCAAGCAGGGTTTAGATCTTTCAAAAAAAACCAAGCAGGGTTTAGAATATAATGCCACCCACTGATCAAACTACTTATTATCAACGTGATAGATGCCGAATGAAATCTCAAAGAGCAGAATTAACTGTTGTCTGTGAGTAATAAACTGATTATATTTGAAGCCCAAGAAGACATGGAATTTATTAATAGATGCATCACATATTGAAGCCACTGGCTGAGCATTTATGGAACCACGGAATGAATCTTATGGCACAAATAGCATTCCAGAACAAACAATGCCTTAAAGGCATTTCATTGGAGCAACCCTTCCAAGCCGCAATTCCCATTTATGTGTGTGAATATTACACATAACAACAAAACCAAACAAGAAATGCCATCAAGCACTAGATAAAAGATGATATTTTACTACATTTCAGATTTCAACACTACTTTTTTAAAACGCAAATAATAAAAAACAGTGATTTCTATAATAAAAACATAAATTCAAAGAGAGAGATTTACCGTTGGGGACGTGAGTGAAAGTGATTCCCGTGGAAGAAAGGGAGTCCTGATTAACACGCGACATCTGCATTAGGTCACCAAAAGCCGTGATTTGGATGGGACCCTTGATCCCATTAGCCCTAATGGCGGCATTGATACTCTGGGTCACCCTAAACAAATTGGAGCCAGTCGGCAAATTGCAATTCTCGAAATCCCACCATACCGAGACCTTAACATTTCGACTTTCTACCTCATGTCGGCGTGAGGAGGAAACGTTGTCGGAGGAGTGAAATGTTGCTTTGAAGAAATGTGAGATTTGAAACAGAGAGTTTGCAGAGATGGGGAAAGATATCGCTGGATTGGGTCTTGTCGGAAACAAGGGTTTCATGTTTGCGGTTAGGAAAGAAATGATGCCCTCGTTTGAGTCCTTTTCAACTTTTAATTCAGCGGAATAACTAATTTCAATTAGGAAGGAAGAACAGAAAAACCGTTGGAATCTAATCCTTAAAATCTGGTTCGATTAGATTCATACACATGAGTTATAGAATGTTAAGGATTGGATTATTATTATTATTTGTTAACCGTTGGGTTCTTGGTTCTTACAGGAAGAAGAGAGCTGGGATCGACCAAATCAGTATTTCTACATAGATTTGATCGACCCGAGCTCTTTTAAGTAATTCAGGAATTAGGCAGCGGGTCGCGGCTCTATTATGAAAAAATACGTTTAAAAAGAGCAATGTGGGAAATAACATACTACCACTGTCCCATTTTATGTGTTTCCTTTGGTTTTGGCACAATTTTTAATAAAGTGGTTGAAAAAGTAAAAGTTGTGGTTGAGATTTGAGTATAGTAAAGTGAAATGTTGTGAACCACATATTTCTTTCCAAAAAGGGAAAGATGACACTTATTTTGAGACAACCCAAAAAGGAAAGTAAGACAGGTAAAATGGGACGGAGGGAGTATACAATAGCCACCCGGCGCTTGAGGGGCCCTTCCAGTTCGCATAGCAGGGCTGGTTGCTAGTTACTAATGTTAGGACAAATCCTATGCTTTTCCTAGTCAAATACCCGCAGCTCGGTAACAACCATAATCGAAAGGTCCTACGGAACCGTTAAAGAATCGTTATTAAAAAAATAAAAAATTGAAAGTATAACTAGTAGTAGTAAACTAGTAATAATAATGATAACAATAATAATAGTCTTAACAATAATAATTATAGTAACAATAATAATAAAAATAATATAATTGATGACACTTAATCATAGAGTAAAGGGTCAGTTTGGTCCTTGAAGTTGAAAAAAGGGGGTCAAATAAGTCCTTAGATGGAAGATTCTGTTCGGATGTGCCATTTGAGGCGGTTCCCGATGGAATTTTTGATAAATTTTTTCGAGCATCTTATTCATTAAGTCTAGTTTACTCATATCAAATTTCAGCTAAAAATTCAACCGGGGAGACATTCAAATGAATTCTTGAAGATAATTGCGCTTTTAAATGCACAGTTATCTTCAAGAATTCATTTGAATGTCTTCCCGGTTGAATTTTTATCTGAAATTTGGTATGAGTAAACTAGACTTAATGAATAAGATGCTCAAAAAATTTCATCAAAATATTCCACCGGGAACCGCCCTAAATGGCGACGGTTGGATAGAATCTCCTATATAAGGACTTATTTGACCTTTTTTATGCAACTTCGAGGACCAAACTGACCATTTACTCCTTAATCATACAACAATTTAAGTTTAATCGATGGAAGCAGATGGGGATGAGTACATTAACCTCGTTTTTTTACAAATGATATATATTTTGTTCCATCATGGAAATTTCATAATTATAAAAGTATATCAAATTAATTCATGTTGGTTCGATATATTTTTTCTCCATAATATTCAAGATGATTGTCATTGTGAAATTTAATGTAAATAATGCTCCTAGGATTTGGAAAATGATGATGTTTAAGTTTTGAGAAACTTGAACTAGACGTCTTATTCTACTATGATGACCCAACTTTTATTGATATCAAACAATGATTTTCATATTTTATCTACAAACAAAATTCAAAAATTATTTCATTCTATTGAGTGTTAAATAAATTAAGTTGGACTTGATGTTTGAAGTGATGAGAGCTTCAAAATGTACTTATTGCTCGTGTTTTGAATTTTCGACGTTTTTGCATTGTAGAAAGTAAATTCTGTTAACGTTTTTATGGGAAAAAATCATGCTTAGGAACTGATAAAAGTAAGAACCAAACCGTTTACTATTGGTTCGGTTTCATAACGGTTCTTGAAATTTTAGATAGGAACCAAACCGATTTGATTAGTTGAGTTTTTTTAACGGCTCCACTAATTTCATATAAGAACCAAATCGGTCTCAGGCCTAATTTCAATACAAAGTTTAATTTTAAGACAGAAGTCCCTTAATCAAAGTAAAGGTGGAATGATCGATCCTCTCACGCCCGCGTGAAAGAACCCGCCATCTGGCCAAAGCTATTTAAGACTTTTATCGATGAATTTTTTTAATGAATTTTTTTACATGATCTTTATTAAGTCTAATTTATGCCCATCAAATTTAAATACAAAATTCAATTGGAAGACAGTCCAATGTGAAATTGAAAAACATTGCGGTGTTTATTTATATATAAAGTGCAATGTTTTTAAATAATTTATTTAATTAGCTTCCCGATTGAATTTGAAGCTTAAATTTGATAGATATAAACCAGACTTGATAAAGAATATGGTCAAAAAAATCATCAAAAAAATTCCAACAAAAAGAGCTCCAAATGACCTTGACCGGCTTGACAGGATCACTACTCGAAGTAAAGATACCTCAAATTGAATTATGTCATTTTTTTCACATAGCATAAGTTCATACTTCCACTATCTTTTTTATGGTAAATGTCAAAACATCGTTTGCCAATTGGCTTACAATATTATCAGGTATAAAATCAAAATTAATGACACAATCAGTCATAGATATAGCGGCAAATTATACCGTGGGATCGGTATACCATGCATATGGTATACCCATCCTAAATACGGTGCCGTTTTTCATAATAAAAGGAACATGCAGCGCACACTTGCACTCCCAACGTCGCTTCTTTGTTTCTTTGTTTCTTTTTACTCCGTAGTTGTTTATTACTCCTTCGTATTATTCGTTTCTCTTATAGTCTTTTCTCTAATTGCACGTACACTTCAATTCGTTCCACCATTGTTTTTTTATTTTTTATTTTTTTGCTTTTTCTTTGTTTACTTTAATTTTTTTTAATTATCAAAAGAAAACATGTTTCCAAATAGTTTTTTAAATTTAGGAATACTGATGTACGTATAAAAATTTTGTGATCAAATTTTCATCTTTTCAAAACAAATAATTATCTTTTCAAAATAAATTCATCTCATTCATATACTTTTTTTCTTCTTTTTGGCTTCAGCTTAAATTACAACCTAAAATTAAATCATTTTTTCTTCAAACTAAGTATTTTTATATTTTATACACTTGTGTGATTTATATTTCCACGTACATATGTGAGTTGTGTTCATAGACAATTTCTAAAATTATATTTGCTAGTATGTGGAGTTACATCTTTTTATTAATGAGTTACAACTTCTTTTGCATGAGTTACATCTTTTAATGCGAGAGTTACATTTAGACTTGTCTCAACAAGTTATATTTTGCATACACCTTAATTAGATTTTCCATCAACGTGAGTTACATTTATTTATAACACGAGTTACATCATAAAATAAACTTCAGATATTGAAACAAAAAATCATTTTTTGCAAAGAAAAATGATTTTTTTTGGCAAAAAAAATGATTTTTTGGTATTTTTTTTCTTAGAAACGTTTTATGGCCCTAATACTAAAAACAAAACATATTAACTATTTACGTAAATTAATTTGAGCAATTAGACTCCTTGTTTTCATTAATTAGCTTTGATGGTATATGGAGTTACATCTTCATATGCTCGGGTTACATCTTTTTATGTGTGAGTTACATTTTCATACACTCGAGTTACATTTAGACTTGTCTTAACAAGTTACATTTTGTATACATCTAAGTTAGATTTTTCATCAATGCGAGTTACATTTTCCATCACAATATAAAGCCCTGCTATTGAAACAAAAGAATCATTTTTTAAAAAGATTTTTTTTTTGGCAAAAAATGATTGCTTTGACAAAAAAATGATTTAAAAAAAATATTTTTATGACCTTAATATTAAAAACATATCATATTCACTATTTAAGTAAATTTCTGCTATTGAAACAAACAAAAAATTCACTTTTTGCAAAAGAAAAATGATTTTTATTTTTCGAAAAAAATGATTCTTTTGCCAAAAAATTGATTTTAAGAAAAAAAAAACATTTTTATGGCATTAATATTAAAAACACAACATATCCACTCTTTACGTAAAGTAGTAATTGAGCAATTAGACTCTTTGTTTCATTGAAATCAATGTTTTATTTTTTATAATCCGTATTAGACAAGTTACATTTTGACTTGTCTGCAGTTACATTTCCTATTTACGGGAGTTACATTTTTTTTTATACATGAGTTACATCAGTCTACTACTGTACAATGAAAAAAACAAAAAAAAAGAAGAAGTTATTATTCACCCGCGTGAACAGTAACACGCGTTTTTTTTTTGTGTGGGAGCAGCATGCTCACGGTGGGCTGCTCCCACGGTGTACCAACTGAGAAATAGCCGCTTTTGCAAGAATATGAGCTGCTTGATTTGCTGATCTTCTACACCATTGAACTGAAAAGCTTGTTTCCTCTTCCAATAAAAGTTTAATATCTTCAAGAATTATTCCCACTTGAGATTCATACTTCTCTCCATGTGTACCAGAAAGAATTAGAGAAGCATCAGTTTCAACCACCACATTATTCCACCCATTATGCCTTGCCCAAACAATGGCTTCCCTTACCCCCGGAGCTTCCGCTTCCACTACCGACCATACTCCCTTCACAGTCCGACACCGTGCCTGGATAAAATGACCATGGCTGTCTCGGCCTATCCACCCCCATGCCCATTTACCGAACTGCACTTTATTGGCTGCGCCCACGTTGATTTTTATCTGGTTAGCCGCAGGTTTTTGCCATCTACTGCTCTCAACCCGGAGCTCGTTTTCTGTGCAACTCTCCAGCTTCCCAACGTTGCAATAGCAGCCTGTTTCACACTTGTAATGTACTATCGTATTGAACAAGGCTCTCCTCTCCAAATGATTCCCTTCCTCATTTTCCATAAGCTCCAAAGGAGCATAATGAAATGGCATAGAGTTTCCTCTCCTATTGCTCCAAAAACTTTCTGGCAGCTAGCAAAAAAGGAGTCTTCACCCACTAAATTCAGAAAGCCAGCTTCCTGCCACACGCCTTGAGCTACTGGACACTATAAATAAATGTGTGGCTGTCTCCTCCTCCGAGTTGCAAAAAGGACAATCCCCAACCACATGAATAGAATACCTGAGACAAGCTGATAAAAAAGATTTTTATTTTCGGTGGAATTTTGAATTGCCAAACGACCGTCCAGGCGGTCCAGCCCGTCCACGTTGTTGGTTGCACCTCTCCTATCAACCTTCTATAACAGCTCTGAACGGTGTATTTTCCTTTTGAATCGCCTTGCCACCAGATGAACCCATCTCCAACGTGTCTGATGCTTAAAGGAATGCCCAAAATTGCCACAGCTTCTCCTTCAGAAAACAAAGTATTAATGCGCTGATAATTCCAGGACTTTCCACCATCTGTGATCATATTTTGCGAATAAAGCAAATTCCATCAATTTATATAAAAAATGTATTAAAATGTGTAATCATTTTGTTAATTCAATTTCCCATTCAATTCAGCAAACATCAATATATTCGCTAAGAACGGTTTTTTGATAGAGAGATGCATGCATATTTTTATGTGCTTTATTTGTTTATTTTTGTTTTTTAAGTTTTTTATTAACCATCAAAAAATTATTAATTGTTTAATTTTTTCAATTCTTATTTCATCTTTTTATTTTTTATGAATATATTGCTCCTTTATAAGCTACATAATATTTTACATTGTTATTATAAATAAAAACAACTAATTTCCCATTAGGTTATTGATCGGCTAAAACTTGTAAGTGTACAAGTGCAATGTAGTAATAAAAGACGGTAAAAATACCGAGTCGAACACGAGGAAATGTTGTTTATATGATTCAAAGCCGAGATAAATTTTGGTAAAAGACTTAGTAAAAGAGTAGAGATTTTTAGTTTTTAAGTAATATTAAAATCAACCAAGGGTTCGGGATTACTCCTAAACGACTCTTAGCGATGAATACATGTTCTTTCCCCAATTCTTATGAGTGGAATGTCGTTAAAGTATTCTAACTCCTGTTACGGCAACGAGATTGTGATTAATTCTACGTGTGAATCCCATCACGGTTCACATTCATCTAAAATTAACTCCATTGAAGATTAGGACATTATGAGAACCACCATATTCAATTGATGTATATTTCTATCCACAATTAGAATATGTGTGACCCTTAAGTGCACGGTTTATAACTCAACGTTAATTGCTCAAATAAATCCAATGATATAATCACACGTTGTACACCGTAATCATTAAAATATAGAGGAAAGATCAAAATAATTTGGTTGAGAACATACATCAAACACCGTAAAGTTTCATCCCTAACCCTGACTATGGAAAATTAGCTAGAACAATTCATAATGGAATTACAAGAATTGAAATGATAAAATACAATGAAATACATAAGAAATTAATATCACAACTCCAAAGCTATGGTGGACAATGGAATCTCCAAATGAAGAACTTCTCCCAAGACCAAGAGGTTGCTCTTGAGATGCTAAAGTGGAAGTAAATTGTGTAGAATATGGAATGAACTGTTGAAAGGGCTTCAAAAAACTTATATGGAGCTCTCAACGGCCATTTTTAGCCAAGAAAGCAAGCTCCTTAATGAACTTTGGTGTTTTCTCCGAATGATTGTGATGACCGTTGACCTTTTAATCAACCACAGACGAAAGATGGGCGCTTTATTTTCACAAACATCGGGCGTCTTTCGCATTTTAGAATAATGTTGACTTCGCTCCAGCTGCCGAAAACCAAACGCCCTTCACCAAAAGCGGGGGGGGGGGGGGGGGGGGGGGCTTTTGGTTTAAATCCGAAATTAATCCTACGGCGTTGAACATCGGGCGACTTTCGTCTTTTGTTGCTCCGGACGATTTTTCTTCTCTTTGGATGCGAAAACAAGTCTGGTAGGCAAAAGCCGGCCGGCTTTTGCAAGAGTCGGGTGTCATTTGCTTTCCTTGTGCGTTTTTGTGGACTTTGTTTGGCCATCGAGATGCATTTGGTTGACCTTTTTCCGTCAGGATTCTTCGTGTGTATTCTATCATCCTTGTATTTGGTCCAATCGTCAATTAAAGTATTTGTTGCAAAACGAGGCATATTTGTGAGGATTTAAGTATAAAAGTGTTTATAAATGATTGTATAAAACACGTTAATATAACGCTTATCGGTTATGATAGGGGTGGAATAGAAAAAGTGGGGACAATTGACTCATATAATGAAAATATAAACATTGTAGTTTTATTTTTCATTTTGAGATGTTTTACCTTAACTCTTCTCACCCCTCACTTTTCTCTTTGTTTCTCCATAGTGTTTCTTCCTTATATTTTCTCTAATTTTCTACCATTTTCACTCCATTTACTAATTTAGTTATCATGCACAATAATGTGATATGATATTCGCTCTATAATGAAGTTTCTTCTCAAAATGTTTATTTTTGAGGTAATAATTCATTTGCATTTTGCATGTGCTTTTTTAGAAATTTATTTATTTATTTTCCCGATGTTGAATAATGGGGCATTTTGTTTTTATCGTAAGAGATTGTTGTGCTATTTATTGAAATTTAGTCCAAATACTGTATTTCATTTTATTTTATGCTAATAATATGCTTATTAAACTGATTCAATGAATCTATTTTTAAATCTAAAACCTTTTATCTCTCTCATTTGTTAATTAGTTTTAGATTATATTTTTACGGTTTTCCAATTTAAATTATGCTATAGTTAGTTTCATTGACTATTTTATTTGATTAGTACATTTTTTTTGTTCTTTATTGAATTTATGCATCACAATCACTATAATAAGATTTAGAGACTAACGTTTAAACAATAAACTAAAAAATTTATAATAATGAAATAAAATAGCTAATAAATATTGTTGTATCATAGTTCAAATTGGGAGACTAGAAATTTTGAATCTAAAAATAATTGAGAGACAAAAGTCTTGAATTTGAATAAAAATTATTGTTGAGTCATTCCAACAAACATATAAAATGAAAATGAATAATTGGACTAAAAATTCAATAACTATCAACACAATCTCTTACCATGAAATAAAATACTCAATCATTCAATGTTATAAGATTTACGATATAGATAAAATTAGTAAAGATGAATAAATAAATAAATAAATAAATAAATAAATACTTAAAATGTAAAGGAAATAATTAGAATAGATTATTACCTCTATAATAACAATTCTGAGAAAAATAGACCATCATAGAAAACAAACTAAATTATTATGCATGATAAATAAATTGGAAGGTAGAGTAAAAATTAGAGAAAATATAGATGAGGAAGAGAGTACTAATGAGTGGAAAGAGGTAAAACAAAGTAAGAAATTGGTGAAAAGAAATGTGCCTTTATACACAAATTTATTTGTACACATATAAATTTCAAAACTTTATGTAGATAAAAAACTTTAATATATTTAAATGTAGGAGTGGATTGAGAAATCTGAGTTAAATTGGGTAAAATAATAATTACACTAAATTTAAAAATTAATGGGATGAGCTAAATATGAGAAAATGAAAAAACAAAATTACACTAATATTGACAACAAATTATGTTGCCATGTGCTATGGCCAATTATTGCTATTTAAATGAATAAATAACATCTTTCAATTACATGAATCATGCGGATGAAGAAAGGTGATCTTTATTCCATCTCATTTATTTTGTGGCGCTTGAAATTCAAGTAAAACTATAATCTTCATGCAACGCAGAAAAAATGTCGGAGAAAGTAATGGTTCCCGCCATAAATTAGATATATACAAATATTTTATTGTTGACTAGAGAGGAAAGGAAAGGCGCATGAGACTTTTCTCTCTTCATCTCCTTCCATTTCGTTTGCTTATCTTGGGCGACGAAATGGGAGGATGTGCTAGTACGCCTCAGGTGTTGACGGAGGAATTCAACGCCCCACTCCCGCTGCCACCACCGGCGGAGAATGATTGTAAGCACGATGAGATCACGAAGGACATCATGGTTGTCGAAGAATGCAATGTCGTCGCCCATGGGGAGTCCCACATCGGAGTCGTCGTCGCTTATGATAATTTCAACGAATCTATTTCTATCACCGACATATCCACCCAGGTGAATTGATAACTTTTAATCTCACCTAAAACATCATGATTAACGAAGCCGTTGCCCCCACAAAATTGATCATATTTAACTTGGAGAGGAGACAAAAATTATGTTATTGAGTTTTGAGCATGTGAGATATGAACAACTTTAATCACATATTTAATAATTACTTTTACTAGAAATGATAATGTTTTTTGCCACAACCAAATAAAAAAACATGAAGAAAGTCATGAAGTAAATAAATAAAATAAAGAAATATGCATCTATGGTGTCTATAGCCTTTGTATGTTGATTTTTAATCATTTGTGTCCCAAATTCATACATTTAATCACTCAAATAATTAATTGATAATCAACCCATATTTTGAATCCCGTATTGAAAAAAAATCTACTAATTTTCATTTTCTAGCATTCTCATTTCTCAAAAAGACATAATTGTGTTATTGTTATATTCCACTCATCCCAACCAAAAATTACATGTAGCTTTTCATGATTACATTTCTTAAGAAGTGTGTATGTAAGGCCAAGAATATTTGGCCTGGTAATCATTCATAATAAAGGTCTTTTGGGCCGGAAAAATGAATTTATTTGAAGTAACTCAGTTCGGACTCAAGAAGCCTATGTATGAACAAAACAATTCATATTTGTCCAACTTGATTGAGTTGGCTTGGGTTTGGCCCGTCCCTATCTTAGCCCATAACATTCATCAAATACAGATATCAAAAGTCACTCATAAGACATGACCTTGGCTTTAAAAAATACTCCGTACACGCTTAAGTGTATACATGATTTACACGCTCTATTTGTATATGCATCGACAATTTTTTCATTTTTTAAGGTGTATATCAGTAACATAGACAATTTTTTTTTTTATCTGTGACACTTTAAAAATGAAAAAACGTACACAACCCTCCTTGATTTTTAATGTAAATTTTTAGAGTTTTTTAGTACGGAATCATGATTATGGGTAACATTTTCTTTAATCTTAATATAGGATGAAGAGCACGATTCAGAACAGGTGAAGGATGAAATATTTGAAATCAAGGAAGCTTCTGAACCATCCAAATCAATGCCCCAACTAGATGATGGTGAATTAGAATATCATTCTCTTCGAGAGTCTCCTGAACCAGAAATCCCACATGAAGCTGCATTTATGGTAGAAACTTCAGAGCCAGACTCATGTGTGGAGAAAACAATAGAGGAAGTTAAGGAAGTGGGAGAAATTATCACATGCGTGGATGAGCATAAACTTGCAGCTAAGATGAGAATAGCAATAGAAGATACTCCCTCACATGAAAATGAAACATATGAAGATTTGGGCATTTTCGGGGACAAAATTGAAGAGAAACAAATAATATCGGAAGAGAAATCTATGGAGATGAAAACTGAAGAGCAAAAAGAAGAAATAGCACCAGATACATGTAAGACAACGGAGGAATCAAAAAAGTCGTCTGGTTCTAAAAAGCAATACTGGCCCATTGCCGCACTTCTTAGAAATCCATTGGGAAATTTTGCTAAAACCAAATAGATGTATAAATCAGAGAAGAAGTCAAAGCCTCCCCATTGTATTCATGATCTTGGTAGGATTGCATACACTTGACATGCACAAGTGATGTTTTTTTAGTGTCGATCTACGTTTTGTTATAGTAACAGTTTTGAAAGTGAAACATAAAAACTATTCAGTTTTTTTTGGGTAAATGAATGAATGAATTCCACTCTTGATCCTAAGAGTATTGCACCAATTCCACATTTGGTCTGCATCTTTGATCACTTCTTGTATATTTCTATTTCTTTTCGCCCATTAATGGTCCCTCTGTAGATATTTATGAAGGTTAAAATTAGGGATGGACTCGGGCCGGGCCAACCGGCCCGGAACCGGACCGGCCCGCTACTGTGAGGGCCCGGCCCGGCCCGGTGAACCGGTTCGTGCCCGGTCGGGCCTCCAGGCCCGGTGGTATAGCGGTCCGGGCCCGGGCCTCCAATTTAGTGAACCGGCCCGGCCGGGCCGGGCCCGGTTCGGGCCGGAATTTATTTTTTTTTTTTTTTGGAAATTTTTTTAAGTTTTGGGTTGGATTAGGTATTTTGGGCCATTTGAGGTGGTTTGGGGTGGTTTGGGGTGGAGAGGGAGGGGTAGGGGGTTAAATAAGAGAAGAAGAGAAAAAAAATATTAAAAATCCGGGTGGCCCGGCCCGGCCCGGTCTGGCCCGGAACCGGACCCGGAACCGCCCACCACCGGTTCGGGCTCGGGCCTCATTTTTCTGAACCAAGGCCCGGCCGGGCCCAGGCCCGAACCGGGCCCGAACCGGAACCGGTCCACCCCTAGTTAAAATTGCTTGAGAAGCGTATGAGAATTGGACAGAAAGACCACAAATGGCCAAAAAACATTAGTCAAGTGCCAACTATGGGCAAAGTGAAAGATATAGACTAAATATGAAATTGACATAAAACTCATCGGACCAAAAGTGAAATTAATTCGTAAATGAATATATTTCCAAACAAAAAACTGACCATTCTCAGCGCGTGAATCTATTTAATGCGCCTATCTCATGATTTCTTCAAAACAACATTCCTTTAACACAATTAACTACACCTAATCGAGTAATGGGTAAACCACTAAATAAAGAAAACATTTTTGGGGGCTTTTTCCTCTACGTGGGTTTTTCTTGAAGACATAAAGCCTCAAGTTCAGTGTTTTTGCTCACTCTTTAATCATTTTATCTTATTTTCATCCCTAAACGTGTTTTCTAAATCTATTTCTATTATTTATGGTATAATTCACCATTTGAATGCATGAGGTATGGTTACTAATTATTGACAAGATTATTTTCCATCATTTATGTTTCTTTTCAAACCATCCACTTACCTTTGCTTCAAAAAAAATATCATCCACTCACCTTGTAAAGAAAGAATGAATAAAAAAAAGTGAATGGAAGGGAATGATATTATTAACATAATGAATATGTATTTATACAAGGTTTCAATCATAACGGTAATACTACTGAAGGAAACACATCAAGTGATAAAGGAAAATATATACAAGGTACGAAAACATACATAGTTAGAATATCTATTTCTACCCTTCCCTCAAGCTCAAAGGTCAGCGAGTTGTTGGGTAGAGGAGATAAAAGTAGTGCGTGAAGTACCACTCTGAATTCATTCACGGACAAAGTGGCAGTCCAAAGTGGCAGCCGATTTCATCGTGTTGGTCATTGTTCTAAAAGGCTTTAAAACGCGCCACCTAGGCAGGCCTGGGCTTGTACCAAAAGCCTCCCGTACCTAAGGGGCGTGGGAAAAGGTGACCCATAAATATCTAAAAGCCCGTAGCCATAACAGCAGGTGCCCGTGTCATACAAAAGACGACTAGTTGGCTTTCTTTAGCTATCGTAGTTCTCGCCTAGCTTAATTAACGTGAACAGATTTATTTATGTGTGTGATTTGTCTCTTTTATCTAGTGCTTCCTTTACAGCTCATCCTCTTACTACTAGCCTTAACACCCAACACTATTTTGTCAATCTCGGGGTGCGGGGGTGCCTGTACATGGTCATGGTGATGTCCAAGAATGGGTAGAGGGGCGACCGGGAAGGTGTAGTCAAGACTTAGCTTGTTGAGTTTGTTTTTATGAAAACCAACGTCACAACTTGACAAAGGTCTTTTGGAAATCTAGGTCATAGAGTCGATATGCCTTTTGATCATGAGAGTAGCCAAGAAATATACAATGTCGAGCCCTATAGGAAAACTTGTGAGGGAAAGCGAGCTCCCTTGCTTCCATTGCGATTTGATGCCAAGGAAATTGATTGAGATGGTCCGCGACAACGGTGGGGGTGACCGGAGGGGGCGGAGCTGGTCGTCGGGAATGCAAGACGAGCCTGGGGATGACAGTGACGGGGGGGGGGGGGGGGGGAGATGGTGGTCGGGGAGGGGCTGGGGAATGAGGTGGCGATCTTGGCTCAGATGATGGCGGAGGCACTGTAACCGCCGCCGGTGTTTACTATCACCGACAATGTTTATATCATTGTCACTGTAGCTGATCGAGTTGGTCGTGGTCACTGGTCGGGTTGGTCATGCTCACGGGCTAGATTGGTCATTAGTTGGGCTAGTTATTAACTGGATTGATCATTGATGCGTGTGGTCATGGTCACTGATCGGGTTGATCACTGGCAGATTAGTCATTAGTTGGATTAATCACCGTCATGATGATCACTAGTAGTAGTTTAGACTCATTTTTTGAATTTATTGAAAGTCATTATTTGATTCCATAACATCTACTCCGTATTTTAGTACTACGTATTATTTTTGACAAAACCCAGGTAATTTATCTTTAAATTAAGCAAACTATGTTGGCATTATTTTGAATTAAATTCAAGTACACAATTTACCTGCCCCTCAGCCGCTTCATTTAGAATTCATTTATTTGATCTTATTCTTCGATTCCCATGTTCGGTTTATGCGCCGGAATATAAAGATAATAGGTAGGAAAATCATACAAAAAAGAAGAAATGGGTCAAATTCGAACCAAAACTCTCAAAACCGTATAAGTTTTTACAGGCGCGAGAGCCGCATCTTCACTTTGCTTTTTTCTGGAACAATGGTACCACTCCTCGTTTCAAGCGTATTGCAGCAAAATAATCCGAAGTACCTCGTGACAATTTAAAAAGGCTAAAGATTCAAATAGGCTTGTACCTATCAGGTAAGCTCAATTCAGTTCATGAATTAAAAAATCCAAATCACACCTCGAACTTGAAAAAAATGATTCAAATTTCAATTTAATGAGTTACCATCCAGTCACTCGCCACGTCACTGATTAAGTTGTCAACTGTGCATCTAACTTCGCCACGTTATCGGTCATGTTCGAGTTGTTCAATTAACCCCTCAACTTTTAAAAAGGTTCAACATTGAAATAAATTGAAAAAAATAAATATAAAATTATAAGATAGAGTATAAACATATATGGCAAAAATATTTATATTTTCCAGTTAGTTCAAAATATGAATATAAAAATATAAATAAGATGAAAAGATACTAATAGTTTAAAATTCTTTAATTTTTATTTTATTCCTACTATTTCCTACAATAAATTTTATTTGAGATTTTTAATTTTATTAATATTTTATATTTTATATTTGGTCATATTTGTATGTATTATACTTTCTTCATTGTTTTTTAATTCAGTGTTAATTGAGTGCCTATTTGACCGCCTTTTAAAAAAAGTTATGAATACTCTCGGCAGTTTCGACTTTAGAGTTCTGGACTCGCATGAGAGGTGAACAAAGCAGTTCTGTCCATCCCCGCCCCAATTATCTCAGACGTGAAAACTGATTGCTACTACCTCGCTCTTCATTGGAAATTACTAACCACAGGCATGCATTCATGTATTTTCTCCACTTTGTTTTAATCTAATTGATATAAGGGTTAAGTATAAGGGGTGTTTGGATTGATTCTTAAAACTGCTGTTGCTCCTTCAGTGAGTGTTTGGGTGAAAGTGCAGAAGTACTTCAGTTCCAAACACCCCATATTTACCCATATTAGACCAATAGACCCCCACCCAATAACAAACAAGAAAGCTTGCTGCTTTCAGATTAACAGGAAAAAACTACAATTTAAAAACTACATTTGGGGTGGCCCAAATGCTGTACAATTTAAAGCTTAGTTTCATTGCGTATTTGCATACCCAATTAGCTTATTCATTTTGGTGATTTGGGTTTGCTATGACTAAAGTGAATGAATCATATTAAAATTTCAGACATTGCTAAGAATATAGGATTGTGGCCTTGTAGGATCAATGCGCTTCTTGAACCCAATTATGTCAAGGTAGTCAAAATATAGTCACTTTGTGAACTAGTGTTCTCCATATGAGAATTATAGTAGTAGAACGGATTGTATACCATAAATAGATTAGTCTGCATAATAATGGTTCTATTATAAAATGTGTGTGAAATTGTGAACTGCTTATTGGTGGCAGTTCTTGGAAGTTGGAATGTCATTCCACGAATTTTGTTGGACCGGTTCAGTGTCAACTGGGATGAATTCTATGAAGTAGGGGTTTCAGTGCTGCTATTGGATTAGAAGAAAATTCGAAGAAAAGGAGCAGTTTTCAGATCCACGAAATCATGGAAATATAGGAGATTAGGAGGTTGTACTGGAAATTGATTTATTTTACAGTCACCTGATTTTCATTTTTTTTGTTGTAAGTGTTGTGGTATGAGTCGGTTTGAGAGTTATTATTGGGGGTGGTCTCATTCAGATGAGACTACAAATTATATCGAGATTGATTATCATTCTTCGAGAGAAGGTAGCTTTTGGGAAGATTAGAACCTCATTTGTGGGCTCAAATAGCCATTCGATGGTTATTCTACAGTCACCTGTTTTTCAATTTTTTTGCTGCTAGTGTTCTGGTATGAGTCGGTTTGAGAGTTATTATTGGGGGTGGTCTCATTCAGATGAGACTACAAATTATATCGAGATTGATTATCATTCTATTCGAGAGAAGGTAGCTTTGGGGAAGATTAGAACCTCATTTGTGGGCTCAAATGGCCATTCGACGGTTATTTTTTCCAAATGTCAAAGAGGGCACAAGGTGAACACGTTTACACCAAGCTTG